ACAAGGAGAACGCCACTCTCAAAGCAGACGTCGACCGTCTGAAGAAGGAGATGGCTGCCTCCCAGGGCAACTTAAGAGCAACCCTGGAGGCTGAGCAGAGCCGGCTCATTGAGGAGAATAAGCAAGACTGCGAAGACCGAATGAAGATGGCCTGGGAGCTAGTGTATCCGGATGCTGAGTATGACATCTGGGACTTGGCCTACAGATACGCAGATCTTGTTCTCTCAGCAAGGACTGAAGGGAAGCCGGAACCTGAGCCATTTCAGGAGTGGGTCAAAAAAGAACTCGGCAAGGAGGTTGCTGATGGTGCGGGGGAGGATGAGGAGGAAGAGAAACAAGAAGATGAAGCCCAGGTGTCCTCTGCTCCTGGTCCGCCTGCGAAGGATGTGCCCACGGCCCCATCTTAGTAAATATAAGCTTTTGGTGGCCGTCTGTATTTCCGGCTTGTGTACCGAGTATTTTCAAAGACACGAAATTGGGTTTAAAGACACGAAATAAATTATTTTGGCTCAAAACATTTTAGAAAAGGTTATAAATGGTCAAGGCTAAAGGAAATTCACGAGACTCTTCAACTCTTCACCTAACTCGATAATCAAAGATGTGAAAGATACTCATCACTGGGTTTGGTTTTTGGAGAGACATAATCATGTGTTTACAGGTTTCGTTAATGGGGCCTAGTATCTAATTAAATAATGATTTAATTTTATTTTATTTTAAATAAAAACTTCAAAAAAAAAAAAATCCCAGCCACTGCAGCCCGTTAGCCACCTCCCCTTCAGCCGCCCCTCCCCCCTCTATGTCAACTACCGGTGCCCAAACGATACCCCGGAGCCGGCGACTCCACCCCCTCCCTTTCCCCCACCCTCACCCCGACACCACCCATCCCTCTTTCCCCCACCCGGAAACAGCCCCAGTCCTCTTCCCCCACCCTAAATTGACCCGCCACCCAAAAACAGGCACCCCTAACCCTAAACATCACCCTAAACGGGTTTTAGGATTCCGTTTGTACCCGTTTAGGATGGTTTCAGGGTGTTGTTTAGAGTTTGGGGTGCGATTTTTGGATGGGGGAAGGGGAGGGGGTCAATTCATGGTGGGGGATGGGGATGTGGGGTCAATTTTAGGTAGGGGAAGGGGAAGGAGGCCGTTTCCAGTTGGGGGAAAGGGGGGGATGGGTGGTGTAGGGGTGGGGGTGAGGGCAGCTGAGAATGGGAAAAGGGGAGAGGCGGGCAGCGTGGATGGAGGAGAGGGAGGGAGTGGGGTCGTCGGGGGATCGTTTGGGCGCCGGTAGCCTGCACGGGGAGGGGGGCTGGCAGTGAGGGTGGTTGAGGATGGAGGTGTGGCTGGACGGTGGTTGGGCCCCGCTAACAGAAATAGTAACCAATTCTGTTAAGTGGTAGCAAGACATATGTTTTTTGCTTTTAGGTGGTAATAAAATAAAATAAAAATTTAGATGGGTAGCAAAAGTCAAAGTGGTATTTTTAGTGGTAACAAACGAAATTTCCATATAAATATGTATTTCATTAGCTCTTGTAAAATATCTCAAATGAAACGAACCTTCACCATGTAATACCGTTAAGTGCACCAGTAGAAGTCGACCTCGATTATCATTTATAGCCATTTAGGTGAAAGGTGAAAGAGACATAGACCACCAACACAGAACAAAAGCATTTATACATCATTGCATGATATAATAGTTATCTGTTTATCTCTAATAATGCTCACTTTATCAGGGATAACAACGTTGCAAAAGAAGCCTTTTGGTGATCTACAAAAAGGATGAATGAAAACACTAGCTAGCTTTATCGACAAACAAACATTTATTGTATCATTCACTACCTTACACATCAATATCAACATGTCTATTTTACATTTGGTTAGTTGTCAATGTATACACGATATGTTCTAATTTTCACTCATTTAAAAGGTTAGATCTCTTACGCTTTTTTATTTATTTATTTATTTATTTTATTTTTTATTTTTTTTTTACGTTAAGGAGAAGGACTCTGACCGAACCTCAACTCTCACGGTTTTTTTGCTCCGATATTTACGGGTCAGACACTTTGAGAGAGAAGGGGAAGGGTAAGGGATCCCCACCCTCAAGGTGCCTCTAGTGGGGATTGAACCCCCAACCTTAAGGTTGGAAGGTACAATCTTTCCCACTAGATCAAGCTTAGCTTGGGTGCGGTTTTGTTTGGTTGATCTTGGCTGCGTTTGTTATATTTGATAACAATGTATGTAATTGAGTATAAAACATATTCCTGGCTTCAACCATAAGCTTAGGATTGGTTTATATACTGTATCACGCCTCCTCACATGAGAGCCCATTGGATTTGAAGTGTGGATGTAGCACGGATCCTACCATACCCAGCGTTTAATATTACACTTTAAGATAATAATGAAATAATGGAAAAAGACCCTGTTCTTTTAAGCTATTCTGCTCTGCTCTGCTCTACTCTGTCCTGCTCTGCTTAAAAATAATAATTATTATTATTAATATTTAATAATAATAACTAATATTTATAGATAATAATAATTAATATATAATATTAATTGATAATAATAACTAATATTTAATGATAATAATTAATATTTTATATTAATAATAATAATAATAATAATAATAATAATAATAAAATGCGATAATAATAATAATAATAGTAATAATAATAGTAATAATAATAATAATAATATTATAAATAATAATAATAATGATGATGATGATAATAATAATAGTAATAGTAAGCAGCAGCAGCAGAAGCAATAATAATAATAATAATAATAATAATAATAATAATAATAATAATAATAATAATAATAATAATAATAATAAAATAATGCGATAATAATAATAATAATAATAATACTAATAACAATAATAATAATAACAATAACAACAATAATAATAATAATAATAACAATAATAATAATAATAATGTGATAATAATAATAATAATAATAATAATAATAATAATAATAATGCGATAATAATAATAATAATAATAATGTGATAATAATAACAATAACAATAATAATAATTATAATAATAATAATAATAATAAAATAATGCGATAATAATAATAATAATAATAAAATTTTGAAATATTCTCTGCTCTGTTTTGTTGAAATCTGCTCTGCTCTGCTGAAATCTACTCTGCTCAGAAGCTCAAAAGAATAGGGCCTAAATAAGGGAATACAAATAGCTAAAAGAGCCTAAAATTGGTAAAATGTTAAAATTACGCGTAGTAAGATAATTGATTATATCAAATGTTTAGGTTGAGTTTATTGATGTATCTTCACATGCAAGAGTTTGTGTCTTGTACAATAAACTGAAGCAAGATTAGTCGAAGTCTTAACATGGATTTTGGAAATCTAAACTCTAGTTGAGGGTACACAAAAAGCCAATACAAGGTTTTTTTTTTTCTTTTTTTTTTGGCTCAATGCACCTCATCATTCAAAAGTTGTTGCTTGCTGTTAAAATTTCAACATGAATATGTATGTATCAAATGGCATATAATATAATCAGAATATATAAATATTGTCCACAATTAAAAGGAAAAAAAAATAATCCCATGGATAAATATTCTAGACAAATATGGTGCATCAGTGGCGGTCAATGATTGTATAAAAAAAGTTCATCGTATGAGAATAAATCTAGTTAAAATAGTTTAAGGACTTGTTTCATCCAAGAAATTTTAAGTTTCTCTTACTGATAAACGAAATACGTTTCTCAAGTAGCAAAGTTGTAAATAAAATGTATCTTTGTTCCATTGCTCATAGGTATAAGTGTATAACCGCTACTTGAAGTAGCGACTATACCTTAAACCACTACTTGAAATAACAGTTATACCCTCAAGTAGCGGTTTTGCCTATGGTATTGTAATTTTAACCCTTTGATAACCAAATCATGTTTATAAGAAGAAAAACAAAGGCTCTTTCGTTTTCATCGTTTTTTTTTTTTTAAAAAATTTTTTTTTTTTTAAATTTTTTATTGATGTACAAATTAAGATTAAATAACTCAAATATTTAAGGGATTTCATGAAATAAAGAATGAGTTATTGAGTAGCATAACCAGTTTGGGCTTAACTGCTTAAGGATTGAGATAGGCCCAAATGTTTAATAAAATAAGGATTTGGGCTTATCAAATTGATAAGGCTTATCTTGCAAACACTTTAACATTTCAATAGAATTTATTTTCATCAACTTTAATAAAATAGCATTTTTTTTTTATTTTTTTTTTTGGTTAAAGGGTGTAATAAAATAGCTAAAATTATTAGTATGATACATCCCATTTGGCCATAGTACAATGAATTTGCATTATTTAGCTTTTCCTCTTCAACAAAACTCATCATATTGCAACCTTGCGAAATTCCAGCCATTAAACAACAAACCTTTCTAAGAAAATATATACGGAGTATATATCAAGATTTTCAACATATTAAAACAACATATACCCGGATATGGTCTCCTTATTACTAGTTCAAAATTCAAATTACACTATCAACGTGATAATTAATTTCGAACAAAGAGATCGGTGTACACATACAGATAAGTGTAACGTACGGAACGACAAAACAGAAAGATCATAATGTAGGAATCAAGTACTATATACATACATTGCATGTGATTGGTTCTGAAGGTCAATAACTAGTATTAGTAATTCTTACAACCTTCGCCTTCTGTTTGATCCATTCCTGTACTTGGAATAGCAGATATAACAGTAAGACCCTACCATACTCATTAATAAAAATTGTTGCAGAAAAGACAATGACAATTAACAAAAAAGTTGTGATTTTTTAAAAATTTGTTTCATTTTACAATTAAGGAAACAATAGCCTAAGAATTTGTTTGTTTCTTTACAACTCAAAAGTTTCTGATAAGGAAAATTAATTACATTCTAACAGTAGTATAGTATAACATTTAAGCCTTTGAAAATGACTTTATAGTATAAAGGGTTAATTGCTTGATTCAACAATCATTTTAATTTTTTTTCGCAACTAAACAAGGCACTTGGGTATGTACCAATGTACCATACATACAATTCTGTTAGATAAGTCATTAAAACACCATGTTAACTTTTTGTTCACTAGTATATATTCCATTATTCTATTATACAAATACAATATAGAATAAGGTGAAATAAGTAAGAATAAAGAGTACGAGTATGAGTATGGTGAGAATGAGGAGAGGGTTTATGTGCCAGTCGCCGGCATCCACGGCTGTAGGGTGTATGCCGGATGATATGAGGTCCGTAATCGTGCCGTGTAAGAGTAATAATGGGAGGATTGGTAATAGTGGTAGGTATTCTAGGCTTGTTGATAATTCATCAGAAAAAGAAAGGTTGTTAGTAAAGGGTTGTAAAAGAAGAGAGAATTTGTTGCCATTGAATGATAGAAATAAGGTTAAAGGTGATCATAAATCATCAGTTTCTCACCAACAACAAAAGCCTAAGTCTTTGCAAAACTGTTCTTCTGGTGCAACTCACTTATATCAGGTTAGAGTTCTAGACTTCTAGCTTTTCTTAAGATAATTTTTTATTTTCTTTTGCAATTTTAGTTAATTTTATTTACTTAAGGTGGAATGGTGATTGTATTCTTCATGTTAAATGTATAAATTTTTGTACGTTCTTTTAAAGATGAAAAACTAGAACTTTACAGTATATTATTATTCATACACTATACAATCTCTATTTTTTAATTAGTTTTTCATGAGCAGAAGCATAGTCGTCATGTAATGCATGTTTTTTTAGATTTGTCTTAATTTACAATTTTCACTTATCAAAATTTTATACTACTTAATCTATATCTAATTATTGATAATTAAAGTGGTTAATGATGGTTTGTTGAAGTTGAAAATTGTTAAAATTAAAATGTTTCATCTAATAAAAAAGCAGAGAAAATGTTTATGTAAAAAAAGAAAAAAAAACGAATTTTATTTAATACAAGTAATGTAGAATTACCTAGAAACTAAACAACCTTTTTTTTTAATCTATATTTGCTTAACTAATATTTTCAGAGAGCTCACTTTTTAAATAATATTGGATTTCACAAATCAATTTCTAGTTAGTGATATCCTTATTTAGTTGATTATCTGTCGTTCTAGAGGTTATTTTGCAACGAATAATATGATGATTTGAAAATTAATAACAATGCCTTAGTGTACATTAATGGCCTATTATTCTTTTCATATAGCATGGACACAAGGGGTTTTTTTAATTATTTTTTTTAAGTCTCTGATTTTGTTAAACAAAAAAATAAACAAAGGTGGAAATAAATGATTTAAAAATTAAATTAAAACTCAATTAATATTAAAGAGTAATCAATTGGAATCAACAAATATGAAGATGACAATTGATAGAATTGGCAATCTTAGCTTGTACATCATTCTTATTTAGTAAATTACTCTGATCCTTATATTAATAGTAGTAATTGAAATAATATATAAACATTGTAACTGCATCTCTAGTCAATATATAATCTTACTTACTAATATTTTAAATAGATAATATTAAATCTAACATAGTTTAGTAGTAAAGACTAAACTATATAAGAAAAAAATAAAATAAATAAATAAAATAGTAAAGACTAGTATATATGTTACATTTTAATAGTGTCTCCTGTTCTTGAAAAAAAATTATCTTGAAAAAGATCATACATTCATACATATAAGTTGTTACAAGGAATATAATTTAACCACACTCACACATCATTGCATTCAAATTTGGTAACATTCTCTTGTAGCCATTTCTAATAAACATACCAATCTAATAGTCGTGAATTTTTAACACTAGTTGTTTTTTTTTTTTTTGGACGAGAACACTCTAGTTAATATGTGCTAATTATCTTATTATAAGTACGGAGTAATTAAATTACATTCTCGGAATAAATGCTTTCTGAAAGGTTTTTTTAAAAAGCCATAATGATTAACTCTACATTACAATTTCTATGCAAATTTCGAAAATTAACTATTAATGTTAACATCAATAATTTTAACGTTTGGTCATAAATTTTAATATAATATAAAGTCCAATAATGCTGGTCCTAACTCCTAATGAGAGTAATATGGAAACAGGTGGTGGTCCTAAGAGTGTCGCTCCATTGCCAAGGTTGTGCTGGTAAAGTCAAGAAACATTTATCAAAGATGGAAGGTATGTTGCTTAAACCTATTGGATAAATAATCACTTACATCAAAAACATGGTTTTTACCCACTTTTTTTATACTCTGAATTTGTACTGCCTTTGTTTTTGCATCACTTTGATATTTGCATTTTACTCTCATTTCGTTATTAATTTTCTTTAAATAGGTTATTGGATTTGCATATTTTCATTATATTAATCTTTTAATCTCTCTTATTAATAGATAGACCGTAGGAGACATTTGGTCAAAGTTATATGACTTGATGCACTAAACTAAAAACAGAGCGAGTAATAATCTTTCTATTCTTCAACAATAGGAATTTGAATGTTCTTTCTTTCGATCACTTGTTTTTTATTCTTTACATCCACATACAATACTACATAATGTTTTATTTTGCAGTTTCTCTTTAACTAAACACTTTGAAATTAAATCTACACTATTCATACACTACATTTTGTTTTTAATTGGTGATTATCTTCTTGTAGGAAAAAACATAGTCATCGTCTTATATTATTAAATTTATCTCAATTTTGTATTTTTCAGATATAAATATTTATTATTTTACACATTAATATTAACATATTAACGATTAAATATACGCATTAGTGGAAAAAAAAAAAGAAGAAGAAGAAGATAGGTCTTTTGATTTGACTGATTAAGGTGAATGAAAAATGAGGGTTGGTTGATCCATGGTAAATACTCCCTCCATTCAGAGTAATCACAATATTATGCCTTACACAAAGTTATATAAAAAAAAAGAATAGGGATAAAAGTCTAAATCAAATAACTATATACTAAACGCGAAATCCGAAATAACACTTGTCACTTCCTAGTTAAAAGTTTTCCCGTCTATTTTTTTCTTTCCTTTTTTTTTTTGCCAAAAATCTAATGATACTTATTTCCATTTTGACAACATATTCAATCCAATTATACTAGAAAACTTTAGTTACAAAAAAATACTAACATAGATTAAAAATAAGGCATTGGAATATATTATTATCCAAGATTATTATAATATTATCAATTTTTTGCTCCAACTTTTATCATTTAATTTGACAATAATATTTATTTTTAATTAAAAAAAAAAATAAAATTTAGTAGCATACTTTGTATATAAATCTTAAAATTATACATAACTTTTATTAGATCAACCGAACAAAATCATTTTGTTATAGTATACATAACATATATTGGAAAATTCAATCTAATTACTCTACATATTTTTGTGATTATTAATTATAAAAAAAAAACTACTACTCACTATATATATAAGTTAATTACGAAATACTAATTATCCTAAAGTAAAATGAAATCAACTAAATTTTCATATTACGTCGGTCAAAGTGTGTCAACAAAATATAAGGACAAATGTATATGAGTTCGTATATGGGTACTAATCTAAGCTAATATTTTCATTTTCTTATATAAAACCTTATAGCTTCTAAATTTCTATTGCTATACTATTTTTTTATACTATCCAATTCAATAACTTTTATGTATTTGGTATTGGTATAAATTAAAATTCAAGTTATTTTGTTACTAATATTTTATTTGGATAAATTATTGTTGAATTAACACCATTATTATTTATTTTAAACTTTAAATATGAATGTGCATGACATGGGACTTAACCTAGTTTTATAATAAGTGGGAGTATAATAAACTATTAGTGGGAAAGAGAAATAAAAAATAAATAAAAAATAGTATAAATGGGGGTTAATGGTGGAGAGAAATAATAAAATAGTACTCCTAGTACAAGTAAAGTTAAATTATTGAGGGAAAAATATAAAATATAAGTGGATCCTTACTAGTTAAATAGAGTGGTGTTATAGTTAATTAAACACGATTGAAAAATTAAAGTGTTGTAATTAATCAGAGTATAGAGGAAGTATAAAATAATAATAGAAATTTTGATTAAAACAAAAAATAATATTTTTTTTATTTGATTGATTAAGTTGAATTACAAAAATAAATAGTTGATTTTAGAGCAAAGACTTTAGGGATGGAGGGTCTACTACAATTGTCTGAACTGACTTATGCGACTGATTATCTTCTAACTAAATTTCATGAAATTTCAATCTTTTTAACTTTTCGTTGCAATATAATAAAGAGATTTCTAATGTTTGTCCATGAGCCCTTTTATAGGGATTTTCATAGAATACAATAAGACATAAAAGATTCTTTAACTATACAATTATTCTAACAATATAATAAGAATCTTTCCAAAATTTATGAAATTAAATTGATGAAGTTTATGAAATACCCTTTAGGATTCATCATTCTCATTTTTAATCCCTTTTATAAGGATTTTCTATGAATTTGGCAATGAATTTTATGTACTTTTGTAACTTATCAAGTGTCCATCACTCAAGGTCTCGTGATCATATATTTGATGTCTCATATTAAACAAAATTTGAACTTACTAGGTTAATAATTCTATCGATCAACGCATATGTACCCTGTTGATTATAGTTATCTTACTAGGTTAGTCCCGTGCGATGCACAGTTTTAATAATAAAAAAATTCACTTGTAAGTGTGTAACATAAATCGTGATCCCTCTCGTCAAATTTATTGTGCTAAAATGAAGGACATAAATATTCTAATTAACTTCATAGCTATAATAAAAAATTTTAAATGTGTAGCTTTACCTTAAAAAAATAAAATAAAAAATAAAAAAAGAATGATGTCAACAATAGTTTTGGAGGGAATTTTTTTTTATAAAAAGTTGCCACGTGGATATCTATGATGTCGGCGGTAATTACTTAGTATTAGTTATAAATACTATGATGTTAGGAAATAGACGAGGAACGATTGATTTAGGTTATGTGTTTGATATGCGCAGAACATAGACAACAATATATATATAACCTAAATTTGAGAAATAAGTAGAAAATAGATGAGATGAACACACAGATTTACGTGGTTCGGTCAACAAGACCTACATCCACGGGGTAAGGGATGATATTTTCTTATTAGATTTCATGGAGGATAAACAAGAGATAAACAAAAGGAGATACAACACTCTCCATTTCACAAAATCACTCAAGTGGAGTTACATAACGGCTTGAATTGGCTAGGCTAATTAATCAATATTTAGCACGTACTTCTAATTGTCCACCCAACGACTCCTTATACAACATAAGGAAACATTAAATTATTCCCCAAGGAATAACATTAGTAGCCGTCATAAGCGTACTCGAAAATAGGAAAACAAAATGCGCCTTGGCTGATCCTCGATGAAGTGCAGACGTGCTGGTTTTTGGCACAGGCGTGCTGCTAGGCGTGCATAAGAAATTCCAGCTTCAGCAGTCTTTAGCAAAACGGCCATAACTTTCTCGTTTCTTATCGGAATTGGGCATATGAGCTATCACCTCCAACTTGAATCATCTTAAGATCACTTATGAATTGGAAGATATGTGCGTTTGAAGTTAGCCATTTGCCATTGCACTAGATTTCAAGTCACAATTAACATATGAACTTATCTTGCTATTAGATCTTTAATTCAGTTTAATCTAATCTAATCTTAAATTATATTTATACTTCCATCCCATGAAACTATAACACTTTTGTTGTCTAGTAAACAAACTGGGCAATGAGATGTTAATTGTTATGCTCCCTTAATCAGAATTAATAGTCACATTGATAAAAGAAAAATTGGTATTATTAATCTCAACTTTTGGCCATTTACTTTAATTAATTTCAACTATCGATTATTCCTAAATAATCCCAAATTTGGGGGCGTTTTCTTCAATCAGATCATGACCGGTCAACAAAAGTCAACGATATATTATAACAGATTACTTGACACATGTCAGACCCTAATTGGTCCAAAATATTAAAGAAAAAATCAAAATAATTTTTTAAGAAAATGAAAAAAAACACCCATCAGCCCCCCTCCCCTCACTGGAAACCGCCCCCAACCCTCCCCTTCCCCTGCCGGAAACCCATCCTCCACCTTTCCCGCCCTTCCCCCGTCCCCGGAAAACACTGACCATCCCTTCCTTACCCTCGAAAACTCCCCCTTCCCTTCCCCACCCCATAAAACTGTCACCCTCCCCTAACCCAACTCCGTAAAACCATCACCCTCCCCTAACCCAACCCTCAAAACCTCCCCCCTCCCTTACCCTACTCCCGGAAATTGCTCAGGGGTTGATTTCGGGGGTGGGTGAAGGGAGGGGGGTGGTTTTGAGGGTTGGGTTAGGGGAGGGTGGTGGTTTTACGGGGTTGGGATAGGGGAGGGTGATGGTTTTACGGGGTGGGGAAGGGAGGAAGAGGTTTCGAGGGTAGGGAAGGGTTGGTCGGTGTTTTCCGGGAGCGGGGGAAGGGTGGGGGCTTGGTTTTCAGCAAGGGAATGGGAGGGATGACGATTTTAATTTTCCTTTTCGTATTTCTTATTTCTCTTCCTCCACTACAATTGATTGAGGATTAGAAAGATCACTTTTGACTGTATTAAACCCCTACCTTGCTATTAGTTCACTCTATTAGCCTTGGACAGTTCAAACGAAGCTCAATACTTGCTTTCAAGCGATATAGCTCATTACATCCAGCACGGCGAAACTAAGGGCTTGTTTATGTAAAGGATGATGATGATTAGTTATTGTTTAGATTATGTAAATCCCTTGATTTACTCCTTTAGGTTGATAGTCAAAGATATCCCTAACTCTGAACTTATGAACCTAGTCAAATACTCAAATGTATCTAGTTGCATTCTATTGCTTACTCATGTACTATATATACTCTTGTATAATCATCAAATAATAAGCTTTCCAACATTCTTTTCTCATAACTCTATCATGGTATCAGAGCTCTTGATCCATTCTTTTTCTGTTTTTGCTACTACATCCTCTTATTCCATGGCTACACTATCAAAAACCTTTGTCACCATCGATAAATGATGGTGACCATACTTGTACTCCTTTCCCGGAAAGCTTCAAACCCAAATCAAAACTTCCGCTTAACTCTACCGACAACCCGGAGTTCATCAACCAAGAGATGTCAATTATCAATTT